TATCTTCAGTCTTAAATAAGCGTCGTTTGCTGTCACAGCTCCGTTCTTTAGTTCTTTCATTCTTTTGTTCTGTCTTTTGTTCTTCCTAGTTTAACCCTAAAGGGTTGGCATGCACCATTTTCCTGTCTGACTCTCATGCAAGTAGCTTCACTTTACTTTCACATTGTGTTTGTCCGTGTGATAGATGACTGGGAAACATCTCCAGGAAAGTTCACTAACGTATGCATTCATCGTCCTTCCAACCTCCGTCTGTGGTTTACGTCAGTGATGTTGCTTAGAATGAAATGTTGGAGCTCTAGTGCGACATAAACACTCACTTCAAACTGTGATTGGTCGAGAGGAGCAAGGCGCTGTATTCCTTTTTCATTGGTTATCAGAGGACCCAGTATAACATCATCTCCTGGGCCCGGATTCACAAAACTCAGAAGTACTAAGAGTTTGTTTCCTGGTGACAACATCCTATGAAAAGTCTTAGAATTTGTTTTTAAGAATTTCCCCTTAAAGTTGGGACTAAAACTGTCACAATTATAAGTTATTCATAAAGTGTCTTAGCTCTGAGCTTAAAAGTGTGGAACAAGAGAAACGTTGAAGCATCAGTAAAGTTTTAACTCACTCGGTGTTAGGCTGGGACTCCCTGCTAATGCACTTTAGGTTTGATTCGGAGCTAAGCAAGGGGATTGTGAATATGAGTCCTGGAGAGACGTGTATGTTACTTTTTAACCAATATCAGCTCCATGTGTGACACCATCACTGCTCTCATTTGGACAAAAAGAGTGAACTTCACTGATAATTTGATCGCAAACCACAAAACGTTCGAGGAGAAAAACATGTTCTCGACTGACTTCATGCAACAAGCAGTTTCAAGAAGGATAGAAAACAAGCTTTTCTGACAGCCATAAACTCTCATCATTTCACACCAGCCAAAGAGTGGGTGTAAGTACAGTGGCTTGCAAAAGTATTGGGCCCCCTTGAACTTTCCCACATTTTGTCACATTACAGCCACAAACATGAATCAATGTTATTGGACTTCCAGGTGAAAGACCAACACAAAGTGGTGCACACGTGAGAAGTGGAACGAAAATCAGACATGATTCCAAACATGTTTTACAAATAAATAACTGCAAAGTGGGGTGTGCGTAATTATTCAGCCCCTGAGTCAACACTTTGTAGAACCAGCTTTTGCTGCAGTTCCAGCTGCCAGTCTTTTAGGGTCTGTCTCTACCAGCTTTGCACATCTACAGACTGAAATCTTTGCCCATTCTTCTTTGAAACAGCTCCAGCTCAGTCAGATTAGATGGACAGCGTTTGTGAACAGCAGTTTTCAGATCTTGCCACAGATTTTCGATTGGATTTAGATCTGGACTTTGACTGGGCCAGTCTAACACATGGATATGTTCTGTTTTAAACCATCCCATTGTTGCCCTGGCTTTATGTTCAGGGTCGTTGTCCTGCTGGAAGGTGAACCTCCGCCCCAGTCTCAAGTCTTTTGCAGACTCCAAGAGGTTTTCTTCCAAGATTGAACTGTATTTGGCTCCATCCATCTTCCCATCAACTCTGACCAGCTTCCCTGTCCCTGCTGAAGAGAAGCCCCCCCCCAGAGCATGATGCTGCCACCACCATATCTGACAGTGGGGATGGTTCAGAGTCATGTGCAGTGTTAGTTTCCGCCACACACAGAGTTTTGCATTTTGGCCAAAAAGTTCCATGTTGGTCTCATCTGAGCAGAGCAGCTTCTTCCACATGTTTGCTGTGTCCCCCACATGGCTTGTGGCAAACTGCAAACGGGACTTCTCATGGTTTTCTGTTAACAATGGCTTTCTTCTTGCCACTCTTCCATAAAGGCCAACTTTGTGCAGTGCACCACTAATAGTTGACCTGTGGACAGATTCCCCCACCTGAGCTGTAGATCTCTGCAGCTCGTCCAGAGTCACCATGGGCCTCTTGGCTGCATTTCTGATCAGCGCTCTCCTTGTTTGGCCTGTGAGTTTAGGTGGACGGCCTTGTCTTGGTAGGTTTACAGTTGTGCCGTACTCCTTCCATTTCTGAATGATGGCTTGAACAGTGCTCTGTGGGATGTTCAAGGCTTGGGAAATCTTTATGTAGCCTAAGCCTGCTTTAAATTTCTCAATAACTTTATGCCTGACCTGTCTGGTGTGTTCTTTGGACTTCATGGTGTTGTTGCTCCCAATGTTCTCTTAGACAACCTCTGAGGCCGTCACAGAGCAGCTGTATTTGTACTGACATTAGATGGCCTGGTAAGTGGCCTGTATTTGTATAGTGCCTTACACATTCAGTTATCCACACATTCACACACTGGTGATGGCAGCTACATTGTAGCCACAGCCACCCTGGCGCGCACTGACAGAGGCGAGGCTGCCGGACACTGGCGCCACCGGGCCCTCTGACCACCACCAGTAGGTAACGGGTGAAGTGTCTTGCCCAAGGACACAACGACCGAGACTGTCCGAGCCGGGGCTCGAACCGGCAACCTTCCAATTACAAGGCGAACTCCCAACTCTTGAGCCACGATCGCCCCATAGATCACACACAGGTGCACTATGTAGTCATTAGCACTCATCAGGCAACGTCTATGTGCAACTGACTGCACTCAGACCGAAGGGGCTGAATAATTACGCACACCCCACTTTGCAGTTATTTATTTGTAAAACATGTTTGGAATCATGTCTGATTTTCGTTCCACTTCTCACGTGTGCACCACTTTGTGTTGGTCTTTCACCTGGAAGTCCAATAACATTGATTCATGTTTGTGGCTGTAATGTGACAAAATGTGGGAAAGTTCAAGGGGGCCGAATACTTTTGCATCCACTGTATCTGATCAACAACCCAGTGAGCAGGAAGCAGAGTCTTTGCGGTAAACAGGCTCCAGTCAGTATATTTGTTTCCCAGTCGTTTACGCTCACAGTCTGATGTTTAACACTCTGGACTTTGCTGTCATCGTCATTACTCATGGTCGTTAAGGACATTTTTAATATGATGAATGTCCTTCATGGCCCTAATGCAGCGCTCATGCTGAACACACTGTGTGTCTGTGATAATGGACTTGTGTTGTTCTCTTTGCTGTATCTATTGTGCTGTATCATATTCTGCCACCATCATTTCAGAAGAAAGGGATGACAAGAAGCACTGATACTCGTTAATCTACAAATCAAACATCCATATGTAAAATTAGGCTCCGAAGTTGAGCATCCTGGCCTGGACTCAGGAGATGTCATGTGTCTAACAGCAGTGCATGGCTAAGCCTGGTGATTTTAGAATGTGTCATCCCTCTCTACAGTCTGTACGTGACATTTAAATTGTTGGCTTTTTTCAACCTTATGTAAAGAAAAAACCGCTTGATCTCTGAAACACTGTTTCAGTCTGCTCGGATCAGCTCTGTTTGAGTAGAAGAGGCATCTTCTTGATGTGGCTCAAAAACAAGAAATGGAGGTTCGTGGAAACGTCAAAGCTAACAGTTTTCATGGAACGTACTGACTTGTTCACATGACAGGACGTGTCTACATTCGACAGACTCTCATCCTGCTCTGTCACATGAAAAACTTCAAAGCTGAGGTCTTAAGTAGTTACAGCAGGTGAAGCAGGTGTGTTTGTGCTGATGTAAAGCCATTAGCGCTCCACCTGTGTCTTCCTTTCTGAAAGGAGTCAGAATGAAAGTGAAACATCAGAGAGACTCTTTAACCACTGAAGACCGAACGATTCCATCTCTGCCCACATCCGACATAAACAACGGTCATTACTGTATAGAATAATGGCAGACATGACTCAGAATGAGTTTTGCACTTTTTTGCAGTGGCCATGTTTTTCCTTTGTGTGCCGGTGTTGTGTCAAAAAGTGATTGTCTGCCAAAACCTGATTTCCAGTGTTTCTGTGTATTTTTTTATCCGTGATATCTTTACGTATGTTCGTAAATAGACTTCGGTGAACAGGGGATACAAAGGGGTTACATAAAGAATTAAAAAATTATCTGTTTTTTAAGTATCTTTACAACTTGTACTTACATTATAACCAATCCGGTCCTTTATCCCCACTTAAAATATTTTTACAGAACTATTGTAATATTTGCTGCCATTTCTGCTGTCCTGTTGGGCAACTTACTCTTACAAAATACATTTTTAATGTTAATGAGATTTTTTTTACTGCATAAATAAAGGTTATATAAAAGTCGCTGCCAAAAACTGATTGCAGCTTGTATCTTGTTACACGAATGTTGTTTGTGGCTCAAGATGACTTTATGTCATCCATAAGGGATGCATTTGACATATGTTTAACATATTATAGCCCAACAAGTTACTTATAGCACTTTAAATATGAGCAATCGCTTTTTGGCAAATACCGGAAATCACTTTTTGGCAGACAATCACTTTTTGGCACAACACCGGCTTTGGCTCGTTCATCCCAGCGTGGATGTGCACACAGCCACCGATCTTGCTTTGTGTTAGCGCTGCCATCTGGATTTTTTCTGTCAGATGACATTGTTGTGTTTGTCCTCATTAAACATCTTCTGCTGGCATTGATGCAAACCATGATTTGTGAGCCACAGAACAGTACGCACTAATCATTAGTAATGCTCTGCTGCTTCCTTTATTACTGCTAACATGAAGCAGTTTGGTTTGTCTGGAAAATCTGTTCTTCCACAGCCTCTAAAGGTCAGTGGGACATGGCAGACCCAGCACTGTTGAAATATTTAATATATACTTATAGAAAGTGCAGCCCTGTGTTTTCATTTGCTTTCTTCTCAACCTTAATCGTTGCCTTTCAGCGTAGTTGTTTCCTTCCATCAACCTACTCTCACTTTTGCCTCCTTGTTGAAGGACCTGGATAAGACCCAGACTGAAATTATGCGGCACCATACCAGCATCAGCGAGCTAAAAAGGAGTTTCATGGAGTCTGTACCGGAGTCTCGGCCCAGCGAGTGGGATAAGCGTCTTTCCACCAACTCTCCTTTCCGCACAGCGAGCATCAACGGTCAGCTCCAACCAGCAGTAAGTCCGATGAGCTCGGTGCAGTGCAGCTCATGTTTGTTTTACTCACGTGAATTACACAAAGTTACCTGTGAAAGCTTTTCCAAGACAGGCATGCTGACGTGTCGAGAGCAATCGAGCAGTGAAATCAGTTCACACCTATAGACTCGCTCATGCTGGCTCACTGACACACTCTCGTGTTCCTGGGATGCAGGGACATAACACAGACACTGCTAATGTGTTTGTCGACTGGTGATGGTTTTCCTTGCCATGACAAGTCAGAATGTCTGCTTTGAAACAGCCGCTCTGCACATACTGATGCTCTGATTCTAACGCTGGCAAAAATCGGTGTTTAAAAGCTTCAACATTGACTAAAAATGTATCAATCCGGTCTTTTTTCTCTCTACGCTTCCATATAAATGTTAAAAATAATGAACACAAACTAATCAGTCTCCAGAATTCACACTGTGTATTCCTACGATTATAAATGTTCAAAATAATATGACAGGCGTCAGGAGACAGATAATGATCAAAGCACATGTGTACAATATGCTTTTGCCACCTGAGTGTGCATCAAACAGCTGACACAGTCGCTTGAGTAGAAGTACAGATACTTGTGTTAAAAAATAAACAGAGTACTAATTCATCTTTTTAAAGACACGACAAAGTAGAGACTGTGAAATGGACTCAAAGTGTAAAAGAAAAAGAAGCAGTTTTAACACAGCAACATTATTTCAGCTCAGACTGATTCTATGAATGAGTCCTGAACATCTTTAATGTAGAACAACAGTGAATTAAAAGGGAAAAGTCTTTGTTGCCTCCACCGTGGTCGAGTTTCCTTAGTGTGCACGCCTAAAGAGAAAAACAAACCTGAGATCAGTTGGAAACACGTCACAGCTTCTTCTGTAAGAGCAGGCAGAGGTGATCAGCTGAGCTGCGCTCCTTGCTGCTCGCTCCTCTTCTGTGATGTTAGCTTGGTGCTGAAACACCACAACCAGGGTTCATGGCTTTACCAAAATGCTGTTTCTGTCACGGTCAGCGAGGCGAGCCGTGTGGAATTTATTGAGGGACCCAAGATGCGGTCACTTCTGATGTGAGGAAGCTTTATTAATGGAGGTGGTAAATACACAAGGCGAGGGCGGCGAAAAACAGAACTGAGTAAACCTAAACTGGAAAGACTAAGCATAGAAAACAAACCTGAAACCTAAAGACACAAACAGAGCTGCAGGGAAAACCACTCAGGATGACGGAGGGGAAAAACACAGAGCACACAGGGCTTAAATACACAGCAGTAATCAAGGGATGAGAGACAGGAGGGCAACACAGCTGGGAGAAATCAGGGCTGACGGGACAGGGGAAATGAAAAGTGAACACACTCACATGAGACAGAGACCTTCAGAATAAAACAGGAAACTCACAGACACAGAGAACCAGACAAGACACTGAACTTACCAGACAGATTCACGAGCAGACAGAGTGACACCACGGACACTCTGTCTGCTCCAAGATATAACAGAATAAACAAGAACATAGAATAATAGAAAGAAAAACAAAACACTGAGTCGTCAGACTCAGGACAGTTTCACTTTAACCTCTTGTTAAGGGTTCAATATTGAGGAAGGGGAACAAGAGGTGATCGAAGAATAACCACACTGATCCGGCCGGGTGAAGTCAAACGATGATTTTAATGCACGCGTGGGAAGATCACTACGTACGCAGACCGCAACTGATCTCCGACTTAATCAAAGCATAAACAGAGATTTTATACCATCAGGGCTTAAATTTAATGACGCCCCCTCAACGTCAGATCCATTTCATACATAGGTCAGATCAAAACCACAATGACTTTTAACACAGTTTAAAAAGAACATTGTCTTCATCTTCATAGCAGATGTTTCCTGTCAACCTTTCTGATTAGCGCTTCTTCAAAACCGCAGACAATGATTTGCAGTGAGCGAGCACTTCTGCAAGCCCACAATTACAAGCAAACATGCTATGTCACGACCTTACGTGGCACTCTGTGTCACCTCTCCCCTACTAACGCTCACAGTCAAACAGAGGCCACTGTCAACCTTTTACTAGAACTATAGATGTAATATAAATTGAATAAATGTTTTAACCAACTGATACTACTTAAAACTCAATACAAGAATATGAACTTATAAATGATAATAAAAATGACCTGATATAAGTGTTTTGTAAGCATGTATTGCAATTCCTTCTATGTTCTAGTTTCCCTCAGCATGTATCACCTGGACAGTCACGCCAGTGAAGCTTAAGACCCTTAATGAGCCGAACATCAACTCAAAATAAGCACAGATATGCAATGTGTATAAAATAGTTACAACTGCATCTGGAATACAAGGTTAATATGATAACAGTATGCATAAACATCTTAAGGCCATCTTAAAGCTATCTGTTACATTGTTAAAGCAATGATGCAGATTATATTGTGCTGGTAAAATACTTTTGTTCATCCCCACACTCTGATGATGATACAATAATGGATTGTCTGTGAAGAGTTAAATATTTCTTCCTTTTAGACTCCAATCAGTTATTTACAGTGATTTAAGGTGGAATGACAGGAAACAATAACTCTGTTGAAATGTCTGAAATCTGAAACTGTCAGAAGTACAAAGTAGAGATATTTCAGTTCAGCTGTAAGGAGTAAAAACAACCAGTAAAGATAGCTGAAAACTCTACATATGTATTTGTACTCTGCTACGTCTCGCCTCTGATCAGAAATATAAAATATGTTTTTAACCAATCAGAATGCGAAAGATTCCAAATTCATGCACTGATCCTCCACTAGGTGGCGCTGTTGGCTTTCACCATGTTATTCCACTGCTTCAGCCCGATGTGACCACAGGCACAGACACTTCCTTTCCTGTGACGATGGCATGCTTATGCAGGAGAGCATCTCCACGGCTGCGCTTCCATACCCAGTGACAGGCGGTGTGTAGTCTGGTGCTTTGTGGCCGCGCTGCAGCAGGCCAGCACTGTGCAGCGTTTATGAGCAAACAATATCACGAGCATTGGTCAGCCAGCTCCCCCGGCTTGTGCTCAGCTGCACACTCACTATGCTTCAAACCAGCAAACCCTAAGACCTTTGCACAGTACTACAGAGCTTTATGCACAGCATGGGTACCAGCAAGGAAAGGCATCTGTGTGAGCTCAGAGAAGGGAAACTCCAGAAGAAATCAATCACACATGATAAATAAATAAATGATAAATGGTGTGCAGCTGTGTAACTGGGACAACAAAGGTGGGGTGGAGCAGCAGAGTTGACCAGCAGCCAGTGCGTGCAGCACAAACAGTGTGTGGTCATCTTATTGTTCATGCTTGCACAGCTGCCAGATCATTTGGCTGCTTGTAGCTGTTGTAATCAGGGACTGTAGTGTAGAAAGAGTTGATGCAGCTTTCTTCACACACTGCAGAATTTGCTCGTTACAATTACACAGTAACATTAGACAATTACATGACTGTTATGTGAAGGTTTCTGCTTGATCCACTGTTTTACGAATCATAGCAGGACGTCTGTATTTTGGACAGTTCTATGTAATGAAATGTGTGACAGAAGCTGGGAACCACCGTCCTGTACGCGGTGCCTTTATTACTGGGCCTTCTTAGGGGTTTGGTGCTTCTGGTAAATTAGCCCACATGGCATGGATAACTCTATCCAAGACCTCGTCCAGGCTTGTTCTCTGATATGAACAAATAAGAGGTGTTGCATGGGTGTGCATGCCTCCACTAGAACCAGTGCTGTTTCAATGAAACAACATCTTTGGTTCAGCTCTGTTCATCAGTATAAGCAGCACTTAGTTTGGCGCTTTGTCTTGTCCTCTCTTTGTGTAGCTGCTTCAAGCTTTGCGACCTTGCTTGACCTGCCAGCCGCATGGCTCAGTTAATCTGCGCATGTCCACTGACTCTCATACAAACTGCAACAGTTACAAAACCCAAGAAAAGAAGCTGAAGGCCAACGGTGCCAAGAGGACTGTTCCCCCACCCCTCGTCATCCTTATTCCTCCACCCTGCATCGTTCCCTTGTTCACTCTTTGTTTCCTGTATCTCTGTCATCTCCCTTTCCTCTGTAGCGTCTGGGCTAATCCCAGCTACGCCATCCTCTTCCCAAGAGCTTCCATCATCCTTCCCTGTGAGTTTATAAACTGAAGGTCAGAGAGGAGGCCAGCAAAGTTACGATATTCCCCTCTGGCTTCTCTTCTACCCACAATGTGAAGATACAGTTTTTATCTCAGAAATTATATTTTACTGAAAATCTAGCCATAGCAGCACTTTTTATTTTATTTTTAAAATATATATATATTTGCTGAAAGCCTCAGGCTAAACTGTTAAATTTCACATTAGTGCTTTGCTGAGTTATGACGTAGTGTATGAAAAAATAAAAATAGCCTTCTCATCATCTCAAAGATCTCTAAAGCCCACGATGATGGACCCCGCTCTGTCCCCGTGCAGACTCCCCAGCCTGTGATCTTTTTACGCCGTTTCATCTTTTGGTGACTGGCTCTTACTCACCAGTGAAGGATTGTGATGATTTTTTAAATTTACTGACTCGGTGTATTTCACCTGGAATGAGTTCTCTAACGTTCTCTTCAGACTCGTGACACAGACATTCGCCTTCACTAAAGGCACTGCAGCGGTCAGCTCTTCCACTCCAGTGCTGCGTGTACACATTCACAGGGATGGACAAATCTATAATTACTCATAGATTTGGATTATATGACATGTAGCTGCCTGATGTTAAGTTACTCGTTTAACTGAACTTGTTAAAAATCCCATTTAATTACCGGAAAGTTGCAGTTTCATGAGTGTGAATCCATGAAATCCACCGTATTGCCAAAAGTGTTCATTCATCTGCCTTCACACACAAATTATTCAATTATTCATCCATAGGGTTTATGATGATGTTAGTTCAGCCTTTACTGTTATAATTACCCATAATTCCGGTGTCCATGTACAGTGAGTATAAAGGGCTGTTCTTATTGTGTTTGTGGGAATTCTCG